AGCTAAAGTAGATAGTGTAAGTCAATTCAGGGTAACATCTAAAAACAAAAAAGGTGCTTTTTCAATAACTGTAAAATTAGCACATGCTAGAGCTTTCTCTACTTCTTCTTTAATTATAAGAAAGTAGACCAGCTTTAGAGTTTATACACTATTTTTTTTTTATTTTTAATTAGATTATGGAAAGTAAAATTAACTTTTTAACTTAAATTAATTCAAATAATTTAACAAAATTCGTACGCTCCTTGCTACCGCATTCATGCTTCTAACTAATAGCAAGAAAAACTAGAGGAATAGCAAACTATTAGGCAGAGACTATTAGGGTTTTATTTTATTAAAAAAAATAGTCTTTTAGAAGACCATTTATGGCGCATGATCAAAACCCCTGCTTGCAACGCTAGCGCGTAGCTTTTATTTTTTTTTATAGTTTTTGTAATAATTAAAATATTTACTACTTCCTCTTTGCATAAACTTACTTTAACTTTTTTTAACATTAAATTTTTAAACTCCACTCATGTTACAAGCTGCTAAATATTTAGGTGCTGGATTAGCGTGCTCAGGTTTAATTGGTGCAGGAGCTGGAATCTTCACCTTAAATTTATTAAAATTTTGTTTTAAATTTGTGAAACAATTTTTAATTTTTATCCTATTTTTTATATTTTCTTTTATACTAATTGCTTATTATTTTTTATTTTTTATTTGTAAATTCTTAATGTTTTTATTTTTTTATTTATTTTTAGGTTTTATTTTTTTATTTGTTATTATTTTTTGAATTTTTGCTAAAATTTATGATTTTTTAGGTACGCATTTAGGATTAGGCTTAATTTTATTTTTCAATTTTATTCTTTTTACTAATTTTGAGTCTTTAAGTAATAGTGGTTTAATGTTTTATTTTTTATTGTTTTTAATATCTTGTTTTAGTTATTTAAATAAAATTTATTATAATCAGCATATTTACCCTGATGTTTTTTTTTACGAGTGAGAAAATAAAATTAATCAACTTTGTTTAATGGCTTGATTAGATCAAATGCTTTACTCTAAAAATGATGATTTTGTTAATCCAAGCTACAGCAAAGATATTTGCTCAAAAATTGCAAAATTCACAAACACCCCTCCCTCTTTAGGGAAAAACCACATTAATAAAAATGCTGCAACAATTAGGTACTATTCAACAGGTTGTAATAATACTGAAAATATAAAATTAAATAATTTAAATGAAGGCCTTATAGACCCATCGTATTTAACAGGTTATGCAGACGGTGAGTCAACATTTGTTTTTAGTGTTAGTCAGTATAATAAAAATAAAAAAGGCGAAAAAAAATTCAATGTTACAACAAAATTTGATATTTGTGCATCTTATAATGAAGCTAATTTAAACAAATTTAAAAAAATACAACAATATTTAGGTGTTGGCCATATTATAATAGAAAAAGCGAGAGGGGATGGTCAACAAATTTTACATTTAGTTACAAATTCTCTTTCTGATTGTATAATTGTTCAGGATCATTTTATTAAATTCCCGTTATTAACCACTAAACAAGTTCATTTTAAAATTTGATCCGAGGTTTTAAATTTAAAAATTAAAAAGGAACATCTTAATAAAGAAGGATTAAATAAAATAGTTGCTTTTAAGGTGCATAGCCCTAAAGGTATTTCCGAAGGATTAAAACAAGAGTTCCCTTCTTATAAAAACTACATTATACCTAAGCCTGAATATACCCCAAATTTTAACAAAATGAATATTAATTGAATAAGCGGTTTTATTCAAGCCGACGGTAGTTTTAAAGTTCAAATATTTAAAGCATCTGATACAAAATTAGGCAAAAGATGTAAACCCTCAATAAGGATTACACAGCATTCTAATAATTTATTAGTTTTAGAAAAAATTCAAAATTTTTTAGGAGTAGGTAAAATTTATTTAGATCGAAGAGATCAAAGAGAAGATGTTTTTGATCTTAAAATTCAAAATCTTAAAGAAGCTAATTTATTTATTGAGAAATTTAAAGATGCTAAATTATTAGGAGCTAAGGCTTTAGATTATGCTATTTTTTGCAAGAACATAGAAATTATGAATAAAAATTTACATCTTACTAAAGAAGGTCTAGATCAAATCGCAAAAAATAATAAAAATGTTAATAACGCAAGAACAAATTTTAACTTATTTGAAGATTTTGAGCCTAAAAATAATAATAATAATAATAATAATAATAATAATAATTAAAAAAATACAATATTCTTTTTACTAAAGTCTTTTTTCATAAAGTTAGTACTTTAAAAAAAGCATTTAAAAGAGGTTTAATTATTTTAAATTTTAATTAACCACAAAATTTACCACCAACTTTAATAAACTTTTAGACATTAAATTATTTAAACTTAACAATGTTACAAGCTGCTAAATATTTAGGTGCAGGACTTGCATGTTCTGGATTAATTGGTGCCGGAGCTCAAAAATAAAAACGGGCTAAGTTTTATTACTTAAAATTGAATCAAATGCTAAAATTTTACTTTATTTTATTTTATCGGCGAAGCCAGTAGCTTTTAATTAAAATAAGGAGTTAAAAATTAGCACCCTATTTATTAATAAAAATTTTCATTAATAGGGTCAACGACTAAATATTCATCTTATTTAATTTAAGGAAGACATAGTCTTAGTTAAATACTATTTATTTATTTATTTAATTAAATATTCAAAAAAGCCTATTGAGGAATTTTAATATTTTTTTTTAATAAAATTCTATTTTAAATCTCCCATACTTAACCATAAATTTTTAATATAAAAGTTAATTATAAAAGGGTTAAATTAAGGATAGTTTTATTAATTATAAATCAACTTTCTTAAGTAAGAATGTTGCTAATTTAATTTTAAATTTATAAATATTATTTATAACTAGGGAATCGGATTAATTTTCGCTTCATTAATTTCAGCATCATCTAGAAACCCAGAGGCAAAAGGTCAAGCATTTACGTACGCCATTCTAGGGTTCGCCTTAGCTGAAGCTACTGGACTATTCGCTCTTATGATTGCGTTCTTAGTACTATACTCATAATTTTTTTTAATTAAATATATTAAGTAAAATTAAAATAATGATTATGCTTTTATTTTTTTATATAATACTTTTGTAAAATGGTTTTATATAAACTTCAATTTTATCAATAATGAAATTCATATTAAAAAATCCCCACTCTTTGTTCCTTCCTTTTAAATACAATTTTTAAAGTTTAAATTTAAAATTTTATCGTGTAAGCGGTCGTATTTTGGAGTGAGGAATTAAAATTTAAAAAAGTTTTAAATTTTAAAAACTATTTTGTTCGGCTAGCTTCTTGCTGCGCCAGCGAGCCAAGCACAATACTAACTACGCAAGTAGATTTAATCAAAATTTAATTCTTTTTTAAGTAAATTTTTAGATTTGCTCCTCACTAGCATTTGTGAATGGAAGCTCCGCACTTAAACTTTTTAAATTAACTTATTTATTAAATTTTTTATTAATATATTATATTTACACAAAATAAAAATTTAATAAATAAAAATTTAATAAATAAAAATTATAATACTTACTACTTCATTGTTCTTGCTACTAGTTAGAAGCAAGGGTGTGGTAGTTAGAAACATGAGTGCGGTAGCTAGAAACATGCTTGCTACTCGCTTGCGGTAGCTAGAGGCGCATAGCTACCGCACAACAGTGGTGCGAAGCTAGCTTTTATTATTAAAAGTAGGCCCTTTAGTTAATTAGTGCTTAAATTAAATAATTTAAAATAAAAATTATTATTTTAAAATATTAGAACTTAAACATTTTAAAAACTATTTTGTTGCTAGCTTTTTTCCTTGCTTCGCTAGGATGCGAAGCTAGTGGGTAGTTTTTTTTGAATTAGCAGTTGCATTAATTATTGATTAGGTTTAATTTTGTAAAAAACTATACTTAATGCAGAATTTTATAAGCATAATTTTATTGTAAAATTTAAATAATTTAGAAAGGTTCAAGGTAAATAAAATTATAAGAAAATCATAAAAATGAAGAAAAATTAAAATAAATTAAAATGTTAATTAATAGTTTTGTTTTTATAATTGTTTTTATATTAATTAAAATTTAATAAAAAACAATAAAAATAATTATTAATTTTCAATGTAAAAATAATTTCTATGTTTTACCTATTAAATTTTTGATTAAATAAGCCAAAAACAAAATTTGTCTTAAAATTATACTAAAGGGCCGTTTAATTACAATTGACGCAATTCATACTTGTTTTAATGCTGGCTCTAAATATGCTTGTTGGTAAAATGAAGTTGTAGTGTAACAGCGTAGCACAAAACAATAAGATTAATTATAATACTAATTATTTTTAAAATAAAAACCCCGCTTTTTATTTTCTAGCTTATGCACCCATTCCTTACTACTTGCTCATCACAACCTACTCTTCAGAGCTGTTGCTGCCATAAGGCTTGCAAAACATGCTTGCTACTCGATAAAAATAGCAAGAACAAGTATAATAAAAAGGAACAAAAAAAAATTAAATAATAAACAAAAACTTATAAAAAATGCTTTATTAAAATTTAAAATAATTACAAATTTTTTTAATAGTTTATTAAAGCATTGCATTTTTTATAAGCGCGGAGCGAGTGATGTAGTAAGAGTTTTTATATATTAAGAAAAAAAGCTCCACATTACCAATTAAAAAAATACAATTCTACTATTTTACAAATTAACGGTGTATAAGAGCTTGAATTATTTAATTCATTAATTTACAAAACCAAAACTAATTTTAATTCAAACTAAATTTTAATTTTAAAATTAATCCCTTTTTAAACAACGCTCTACAAAGTTTTTATTGTTTTTAATATATTTTATACAAACGAATAAAATTTTTAAACTAAGCCTTTAATTATATTCTTATTTTTTTTGTGCTAGCTACCGCAATGATGCGAACAAAGCAAAAAACATGATCATAAAATGTATAGCCTATACAAATAATATAGTCTTAATGTTTATTTATCAATTCCAAACCATGCTGATTTAGTTTAACGGTTAAAATTTTCTTTTCATGCGAGAATAATAAAGGTTCGATCCCTTTAATCAGCTAATTTTAAATTAAACTATACCCTCTTATTATTTAAAAAAAAATAAAAAAAATTTTCAAACTTCACACGCTTCGCTAGCTACGCAAGCAAAAATTTACATGCTAATTTTAATTTTATTTTTAAACTTAACAAATTTATTAAATAAACTTAATAAATTTAATTATTGGTTTAGTGTAGTTTTATTAATTGTTGAGCCTTAATTTTTAAAAAAGTAATTTTAGCGCTCCTTGCTAGCTTGCTAGCTAAGCAATTAAACTACCGACTACTGCATTATTATTAGAATATTATATTTTTAATTTTACTTAAAACATAAACCAAATGATTGAATATTTTTTAATTAAATTACCATAATTAAAAATCAATAAAACAAGAGAAGTTTTTAATCTTTGTAAGAAAATATAAAAGGAGCTAAAAATACTAAAATTTTAAATAAATTATATAAGGCTGTTTTAAAATTTTAAGCACTTTAATTTAAAAGGTTTAATAATTGTGCTGTTTAAATAAAAAAATAAAAAAAAAAATAAAAGCATTTGGCAGCTACGCAGCAACCGTAGGACTGTTGGCCGTAGGAAAAAAAATTAGAGCGAAATAGTGTAATTGGTAAAATACTAGACTCATGATCTATTGATACAGGTTCGATTCCTGTTTTCGCTTTTTTAGAAAAGTATTAATGTAATTTAATGTTTATGAAAACTTGAAGACTCTTTTTAAAGAATTTAAAATTAAATTACTTTTATTTATTTGGTTGCACATTCCAATTCTGCAGCTGCCGTAAGGCGAGCAAAGCAATAAAAAGGTCTTAATTAAAAATATGCTAAAGAATAGTTTAATAATTTATTTTCTTAATTATGCCTTATTTCTATGCGCCTCTAGCTACCGCACTGCTTGCTATGCGCAAGCGAGTAGCAAGCTAGCGAGTAGCAAATAATTAATTTAATAAAATTAAAAATATTAAAATAATTGACTAGTTTTTTTAAAAATATGATTTTATTAAAATATTATTATGTAAATAAATAATACTTAATATTTTAATAAAATCACTTGTTTAAAACTTAAAACTTAAAACTTAAAACTTAAAACTTAAAACTTAAAACTTAAAACTTAAAACTTAAAACTTAAAACTTAGCCTTTGTAGATTTAAATTTTAAATTAAATTAACACCACTTATTCAACAAAGATTAATTGCATGCTTCTACCTACATTTCGCTTTGTTCGCAGCATTGCGGTATCTATAGGCGCAGAAGCCATGTATTTAATTATTAGTAAATTAAAGGAAAATATTTTTAAAAAATATTTTTTATTCTGCGCGCCTTGTGCTTTATGCTTTGTTAAAAAATATTAATAAAAACCAAAAATAAATGAACAATTATAAAAAAGGATGAACTGATAAGAAGGTTAAAGACTAAAGCAAATTTTCTTTTAAAGAAATTTTAAATATGGTACTTAAGATGCATTTATGTGGAAAAAGTATAATGAATTAATGAAAGATATGAATAATAAATAACATTACTTAATCCTTTTATTAATTATCCTTATACCTTCTTACCCTTCTGCCGAATTCCTTTAGTACAAATTAATAAAGGGCGGCTTAAATAAAAAAGCTACTTTTTTTATTATTTTACATCCAAAGTCTGTATTTTAAACTAGGCTTTTAAAAGTTTATAAACTTTTTTACGTTTTTTAAGTTATAGAAACATCTGTGGAATTATTAAAATAACGCGATTCTTAATAAAACTGTAAAGGGATAAAAGCTAGCAAAGAAAGTTCTCACCCTTGATTCATTTTTTCAATTTTAATTTAAATTCTGCTTTTCCGGTGCGCATAGCGTGCATAGCGCGTATAGCGAGTGAATTTATTAAAAATACAATTGAAAAAAAATCTAAAATGATTTGGTTACAAGAAGAAAGTTCGTGTGAAAATGTAGGGTATTTTTTTTTTTAATTAATTATTGAACATTATTCCTTACCTTGCAAAAGCATTTCAAACTACATTTTAATAAAATTAATATTTTAAAACCTCAATTTCTCAAACTTAAGTTTACAAAATATGTAGGGATGTATGATAAAATTAAAAAAAAAAGTTATTAAAAATTAAAATAATCATTTTACTAATCACAATTTTATTAAAATTTTATAATTTTAATTACTACGACTGTGGATATGATTTATTTTATTCTTTATTTTCTTCTCTTTGTTTAAATAAAAAAGCAAGAGCAAATAAAACTAAAAATAATAATTCTACAGATTTAGTAATTTGGGGTATTAATTTACCTTCGAATGTAGGATGCCCTAGATTTACTAAACTGATTAATTCAATTATTCAAATTCCTCGATGAACTCGTAGTATTTTAATTGGTGCATTACTTTCTGATGGTTGTTTACGAATTTATCGTGGTGGTATTAATGCTTGCTTTCAATTTGCTCAATCAATCAAACATTTTGAATACTTATTATATTTATTTAATTTATTATTTTACTACTGTGCATCAATACCACATCAACAAATCCATCAAGGTTTCAATTCTTTAACGATTAGTGTATATTTTTGAACAAGAGCTTTACCTGCTTTTACTGAGCTTTATTCTAAATAATACCAAAATGGTATAAAAATTATTCCAACAAATATTTATCATGATTTAATTCCTATTGCTTTAGCACACTTAATAATGGGGGGATGGGGCGCCTACTGGGCCTGGTTTAACCTTGTGTACAGACTCTTTTTCTTTAATTGATTCTGTACGATTAATGAATGTATTAATGATTCGGTATAATCTAATTTGCACACTTCATAAACGGCAAGAAGGTTATAGAATTTACATTTAAGCAAAATCAATTGGTAAATTAAGAATTTTAGTTAAACCTTTTATGATTAAATCTATGTTTTATAAAATTCATTTATAATTATTAATTTATTTTTAGTATATTCACAAGCTGAACCAAAGCTCATTAATTAAAGCTTTGCTTGGTTAGCACTATACAATTTAATAAATTTTAAATATTAAGTGTGAAGCTGAAAATTTAAAAGTAAAAAAGAGTTGTTTTTTTATACTTAGTTTAAAGAGAGTTTTTAAGTATTAATTTTTAATAAATCACTTGTTATTGGTTAAACCACACATTTGTAGATTTAATTTTTTTTATTATTTTTACACCCTGCCTAGCTTCGCATGCTTCGCAAGGCCTTTTTTTTTTTAATATTTATTTTATAATAAGCTTTATAAAATAAATCTATTTTATAAATAATTTTAAATTTATATACCCTATGTTATACATGCTTTAAAAATAATAGTTAAAATTTTTAAAATGAAGCGCGAAGCGGTAAATTCCTCGCTTTGCTAAGCGGTTGCTGGAAAGAGAAAGAGAAAGAGAAAGAGAAATAGAAAGAGAAATAGTAAGCAAAACTTTTTAATAAGGGTCAATTATTTTATAAATTAAAAGCCTGAAAGAAGGGTTGTTTTGCATAAAATATAATATAAATAGCTTGGGTGGTAGGATATGATTGTTAAGTTGGTTTAAATTTTTTGATTTAAAAGAGGTCTTTTAGTATAATGGTTATTACTTCAATCCTTCACGTTGAAAACGCAAGTTCGATTCTTGTAAAGATCATATTGAAAACGCAAGTTCGATTCTTGTAAAGATCATGATTATTTTAATTTTTTAATTTTTTTTAAATTTTTTTAAATTTGTTTGCGCAAGCGAGCAAGCGGCTAGTATTTTAAATTTACCTTTTTTAAATATTAATATTTAAGAATTAATAGAACAACTTAAAAGCGTAGTATTTTAAAAAATCAGTTTAATTTTAATTTTTATTTTACTTTATTTAAAGAGCTGTTTTATAATTTATAATTATAAAATTTTGTTTTAATTAAATTCCAAACTACAAATTTTTAAAATAATAATAATATAATAATAATAATAATATATAGGTCGGAATAGTTTAATGGTAAAATATTTACCTTGTAAGTAAAGGTTGTAGGTTCGATTCCAACTTTCGACATTTTTATTAATATTAAAAGTTTTATTCTTTTTATTGTTACGCTTGCTACACGCCGTCCCTAGCTTCGCAAATAAGGCATAAAATTATTCGATTTTAATTGCTATTTTTGCCACTCTTGCTATGCCTCCATGCTGCTATGCTGCTGATTGGTAGGGTTTTAAAGTATTTATTTATTTTAGCATTTACCACACATCTATGCAGCTTTTTGCCTTGTGGTAAATGCTAAAATAATTTTGTATTTTATTAAATTTTACCAATAGATGGGTAGCGCGTAGCGCATAGCGTGTAGTTTTTATTATTATTGTGCTGCTCTTGCTACTGCTACTGCTGCATGCCTTCGTACTTTCGTACCTTCGGACCTTCGGACCTTCGGAGGCGCTAGTTTGTGCTTTTTTATTGCTGGTAAAGAGGCTGGGGCCTGCGTGTATCTGATGAGCATAGGTAAAACTCAAAAATAAATTTAATTGAGTTGTATTTTAATTAAAAACACCATTTTTGGAGGTGTGCTATACCAATTCTAATTCTACTTTCAATAAAAAATGCTTGCTAGCGTTGCAAGAGCAAGTAGCAAAGAGAAATAAATTTAAAATGAGTCGTAGTTTAATTTGGAAAAACACCATTTTTTGGAGGTGGATTATACCAGTTCAATCCTGGTCGACTCAGCTATAAATTTAACTACTATGCCTTACAATATTATAATCTTTAATTTAAAAAGCATGAGCCTTATAATAAAAACTAATTGTTTATTAATGAATTTAATATTATTTATATAAATAATTTTAGGAGTGCTCCCTCCTTTAAAATAAAAAATGTTGTTTTTATAGTTATGCTAGTGGTTTAATGCGCTTTAGAAGCATTGTAATTATTTTTACTTTATTATTAAAACTAATTTTTTGTAATTTTTATTTTTATTTTATTTTTATTTTTATTTTATAGTACAATGGTTTTATAAAATATACAATTTTTTATTTTTAAAAACAAAAACTTTTTAATTTATTTTTTTAATTTTTAAAACTTTATTATTAACAAATTTATTTCTGCTAATTTTTTAATAATAAAATAATACTAATTAAAAAACTTTAATTAACTGGAACAAAATGTGTATTAGTAAGAGCCAAGAATATTAATAAAAATTTAATTAGTTGTAATAATTAAAGGCGCTAAAATTCAACAAGTTGTTTAAATAGTATTATTAATTGAAATAAAATGAACACTAAATATGTAAGCGGTTTTTAAATAGGGTATTATTGCTTATTTTTTTTTATTAGTATGGGTAAAACAAAAAAAGATAGGACACAAAATTAATATAAAAAAAAACAAAATTTGAACTAGTCGCAGCATACAATAAGCCTAATAAAAAATTAGATACTTTTTAGAAGTAGGTAAGATAGAAGTAAAAAAAGAGCGTGGTAAAAGTCAACCTGCTCTATATTTAATTAATAATTCACTTGCAAATTATTTAAAAAATTCGAGATCATTTTATTAAATATTCATTATTAACTACTAAATTAATACACTTTAAAATTTGAAGCACCGTGTTAGATTAAAAAAAAAAGCTCAAAATAGGGTTTAAATAAAATTGTTGTTTTAAAAAGTACATAGCCCTCTAAGACTATCCAAAAATCTTAAAAGCTACGCATCCGTAGTGAATTTTTAAAATATATAAGCCCAAAACCTGATTAAGATCTTAATTTTGCTAATCTTAATATTCATTGAATTGCCGGGTTCATTAATGCGTATGGCCATTTTAGTGTTTATATAAGAAAATCATTTAAAAATAAATTAAACATAAGATGTAATATTTTTATTCAAATTACACAACATTCAAATAATCGATTAGTTTTAGAAAAAATTCAAGAATTTTTAAGGATAAGATGCTGCCTAGCGAAGCATGCGAAGCAAACCGTAGATAGGCGTTTAGCTGACGCTGAAAAATTATTAATAAAACAAAGGTTGCTTCTCTAAGGGTGAGGCTTAAACAAACTATAAAATTTAAATTATTACAACAGCTTTGCAACACTTATTAATTATTAATAATTAAACTTATATTAATTATTTTTTTTTTGTATTAAGTATGGTTTATTCCTTACTTAATTATTAAAAGAAGGTTGAGCAAAAAATATAATTTAATTAATAATATAAGTCTATTAAAGGATGTGTATTGCTGGCTAGCTACGTAAGCCATCTTATTAAAATTTTATAAAACTAATAAATGTAAAGAAGTTATAATTGGTAATCTGGTCGTTTTTATTTTAAAAATAAATTAAAAAATATAATTTTATAAAAAATGGTCCATTACCTTTTTAAAATTTATTGCTCTGCAGCTCCGCATTATGTGGTTGCCCCTCTGCTCCATACTAACGCTAGCAGGCGGTTGCTCTTAATTCGTAGCAGTTCTAATTTGTTTTATTAAAAATATAATATTAAATAAAATTAAATATTGCAATCTATTGAATTATATTTTAAATTAATTTTTTACAGAGCTAATTTTATTAAAAAAAAAGAAATAATTAAATAATAATAAAGGCAGTAAAACAGCTACTTAAAAATTAAAGCGGCTATAAAAATGCTCAAAAGCAAAATTAATAATTTAAAATCTAAGAATAAATTATTATAAAATTTTTGAGTAAATTTAAAACAACTTTAACTTTTTTAATTTTTAAAAATAAAAAAATAGAGTTGTTGTGCTTTGTAATTTTTTGATTTAAATGCACATCCCCCCCCTTGTGCCTACCAATTGCTTCCTACCCCTCGCTTTGTTTCGTTATAATGGAAGGAGCCGGGCTCGGCTTCGCAAGAAGCTAGCCTAACAAAAATTGAAGCATATCGTTTGCTAGCAAAACAAAGTAATGGTAGTAAGTAGCAGTTATAGTAGTAAGTAGCAGAGAGCAAAAAGAAAATGTAACTCAGTTAGGTAGAGTGTTGTTCTTTTAAAACAAACGTCACTGGTTCGACCCCAGTCATTTTCACGTGGTAAGATTTTTAATTCCACTATTATATTTTTTTTTATTATTTAAAACTTTTAATTAATAAATAGTTTTACATTATAAATTTATAAAAGGAGGTTTAGGCTTTTTAAATTTTTTTTAGCCTTTTTATGCTTTGCTTCCTTGCGAAGCATGCGAAGCAAACCGTAGGTAAGGCAAGCGGCGCGCAGGCAGCAAGGCGAGTAGTTTAAATAAAAAAATAAGAGCAATAAATAAAAATAAAGCATTTAGTGCTTATAAAAAAAAATAAACCTTAAAATTTTGGGTTATTATTATTTTTTTTAATTCCAGCCAATGTTAAGCAGTTTATTTAGCCCAATTTTGTTTTTTTAAACCATTAAATATAAAAATGTTAGGCTAGCTTCGCAACACAATGAAAAAAAAATTCATTGAGCTTTCAGTAGTTAAAAATTTTATTTCTTTTCGTATTACAATTTTTATTATTATTCTTATTCTTATTCTTATTCTTATTCTTATTTTTATTTTTATTCTTATTATTTATATTAACTAGCTTTAATTTTTTTAATTATTCTTGATTTTAATAATTTAATAAGCTCTCAAATTAATATTAATTGTTTAAATTTTTTTAATTAGGCTCGCCTTGCTGCAAGAGTATAAATATGGTATTTATTATGCCATTTTTTCTACGCTCGTCTTTATAAAAAAAAAACAACTAATAAAAATCAAAGTTCTAATTGCACAAATATTGTAGTTTTAGGCGTAATTTTAAGTTCTAATTTTGGTTTTTATAGTGCTAAATTTTATTTGCAGCAATACACTTTTAATAAATTTAAATATTTCTAAATTAAGTCAAAACTAAGCTTTTTATTATTTTTAGGTCAGAACACAAATCTAAAAGAATTAAGTTCAGATGGTATCTGAAATCAAATTGCAAATTTGATTCACCAAGGTTCAATTCCTTCTTAATTCTTAACTCTTAATTTTAATTTTCAATCCAAAACCTTTCACTAGCGTCGTAAGGCTTCCGCCGCCTACGGTATTAGCGTACAAAAAATCGCTAACTTTAATTTAAATACAAAGAGCTTTTTAATATATTTTCCATACTTAAACCATCAAATTAATACTAATAATATTTATTAGGCTTAGTTTAAAAGCATTATTTTACATTTTATATTACTAATTTGCCTTTTTAAGCAAATTTAATCTCATCAATTTTAATAAAAAAAATGAAATTATTTTTTTGCTAATAATTTAAAAATTAAAATTAAATTAAATTTAATTAAATTTAATAAGATTGTTTTGTGTCTTCTCAATGCAGGTTTGGTTTTTATAGTTTGTGGCTAGCTTCTTGCTGCGCCAGCGAGCCAAGCATTTTTTAATATTTTATTTAATAAACCAAATAATTAATTACTGCATAATAAAAATTTACCTATGAATGCGTAGCGTGTTATTTTTATTTAAAAATAAAAAAAAAATATTATTAAAATAGTGCTTGTTTTTCACCACTACCTTCCCACCGTAAGAAGGTAGGAAGAAGAAATACTAAAGCGAAAAGCATGCAAAGCAACCAATAAAAAGAAATTATTATTAAAACTATTTTTCTCTTAGTTTAATGGTTAGAACTACATTCTTCTAAAGTGTTAATTTCGGTTCGACTCCGAAAGAGAAAAATTATTATTTTTTTTAAATTTTTTAATTATTATTCAACAAGAGCACTTGAGTATTAAAATCTTAAATATTCTTTTTTTATTTAAATTTTATTTTTACAGCTATAAGCAATATTTATTAATTTATTTTTTACAACTTATAATTTTCTATATACTATTTACTACTTACTACTTACTACTTATTTTTTTTTAATATTTTTTCCTAACATACCAAGAACGCGTAGCACGCATAGCTTTTTATTGTATTTTTTTTTTTACTATTTTTTTTATAGTACAGGGTTAGCTTTTATTAAATACTAAAATTTAAAAGTCTAATTATATAATTTTATTAGTTTTTTTTTTATTATTTTTATATTGTTTTATATTTTTATTGTTTATACTTTTAAATTAATATAGTTTTATATTAATTTAAAAACTATTTTTATTTACTACACTAACTACGCAAACTATGCAATGTTTTTTTAATTATTTATTTTTTTTTTGTTTTTTGGTTGAACCAAATTTAATTTTGTATATTATTAAATTAAATTTTGTTTAATTTTTTAAATTAAAATTAAGGATTAAAGCTTGTTTTTATTTAAAAGAAGAGTTATTAATATAATAAATCAAAAAAAAAAACCATATTATTTGTTTAATATATTAATAATAAATTATTTTATTCTTTTATAATTTTATATTTATAATAAATAATTTTTATTTTATTATGATTAATAAAATTAAAATTAATATGGTTTTATGCTTAAAAACTCAAACTCAAACTCTAATATTATTTAATTTAATAATTTAATTTAATTAATTTATAAATTTAAAATAAATTTTATTTTGTAAAGCATGCTTGCTTACCGTAGGAAGTATTAAGCTAATACTAGAATTTTTTTGCGCAAGCGAGCGTTTATTTGGTTTTAAGTATAAAGTATATTAATTTAATAAAAATAAATTTTAATTTTGTTAGCTTTTTAGTAGCATTTATTTTTTTGTTCTCACAAGCATAATAAATAATAAGAAGTAAGAAGCAAGTAGTAAGTAGCAAGCGCTTGTTGTTCTTATTTTATTGTTTAACAAGAAAATTATTAATTATTATTTTCCCATGCTTTGCAAATCATAATAATAAACAATAATTGTTTACTTTTTTATATTAAAAATAGTACAAGAGCCAATAGAAAATTAATAAATATAAATTTAATCTGTTTATTTAAATTGTTTAAAAATTATTGTATTAAATATTTAAATTTTAATTATTTAGGGGGCATCTGATAATGGTAATCAATTGAATTTGCATTTCAAGAATAAAAGTTCGACTCTTTTTGCCTCCATTTTTATTTATTTATTTTATTAAATATTTGTTTTTATTTTTTTTTTGCTCTTATTTTATTGTTTAATAAAAAGAATAATTTAAAAAAATTAATTTAAAAATTGTTCTTTGTTTATGCTTTACAACCCAACCCTTGCTACACTAATGCTTGCTACGCTATTTACGCTTGCATTAATTATAATAATAATAGTAAGAAAATAATAAATAATAATTATTTTATTATTTTTTTTTTATAATTACATTTAAAATAAATTATGTTTTAGAATAGGCTTTAAAATATTTTAAAAAGAATTTACTCACTAATGATTATAAAAACCTTGATTTAGCTTGGCTTTTAAATATAGTTTTAGTTTTTATTATAATTGCATGCTTGCTTACCTCTTACTACCCTTACCTTGCTTCGCTAACAAAACTAGCTGTAAAAATATTATTATTATAAAAATATAATATATTAAATATAATATATTATATATTTTTGCGCAAGCGAGCTGGTTTATTTTTATATTTTTTTTTTGTATTATATTTTTAAAAAGTAGAATTTTTTTTAACCTTTAGTTTTATTTTTTTTTTATTTTAATTTTAAACAATAGCTAACTACGCTTCCTAGCGAAGCAAACCGTAGGTAGAGCAAGCATGCTTTTTAAAATATTTTTATTCTTATACAATATTTTACTTAATTATTTTTATTAAATAAATTATAAATTGTGTTTAAAAATATATTAGGAGTTTTTTAATTTCAAAAGCGGGTGTAAAAGTAATAATATAATTTTTAAAAAGGTTGTAAATTATTATAATTAACCGCTATGCATGCGTAGCAGTACAATACTAAAAATTAGCTTCGATAGCTTAGTGGTAAAGCAGTGATCTGAAGAATCATTGATGACTGTTCGATTCAGTCTTGAGGCATTTTTAAAATTAAAAATATAAAAATATTTTTTTGACTATTAATATAAAAAATACTTTAATAATTTATAATAATAAAAGCTACGTTTGCTTTTTGTTCTTGTTATGTTAGGAAGAAAAAATTTATAATTATAATTAATTAAATTATTTTTATTGTTTGAGCGTAGTAAAATAAGCAAAATAAGTTTTAAATAAAATTTTAAATTGCTTTTTATAAAATAAACCATTTTTAACTATAATTAATTTTAAAAACCCAAATTATTATATTTTTTAAAGTGTTCATTATTAAATCAATAGGCAACAATAATTTAAATATTTTTATTTTAAAATAAATTTTAAGCGCTTTTGCCTGATGGGTAATAGGAATGTTCTGTAAAAACATTGAATTTAATTCATTCGAGGTTCGAGTCCTCGCTAGCGCATTTTATTACTTTTTTCAAAATGATTAATCCGTATAAAAGGGTGAGGGGAAATAATTTTTCTATTAACTTTTAATACAGAACAGAACTACACTTTGCTTTTTTATATTTTTTTTAAACAAATTCTTTTACTTTTTTTTATTTTATTAATTATACATTTCTTAAATTTTTTTATAAATTAATACCCTTTCGCATTATTTTTTACTTTCTATAAATACAGATCTACACTTTAATTTTATCAACATTTTAAATACTTTTACTTACACTTTTTTAATTTTGATACTTCTACATTTCTTAAATTTTTTATTAATTTATAAACCTTTTTTAAGAATAAACATTTATTCTGAGTAACTTATTTTATTTTTTGTTACCTTTTTTATTTTATTTTACATTTTTTATCACCTTAACTTTTATTTATTCTTTTAACCCAAATAACCCTTTTTTATTTTTAGTTATTAATTTATTTATTTTTTACACATTTTTACACATTTTTAGACATTTTTTACAGTTTTTTATTTGATTTTACTTAATTAAAAATAATAATTTTTTTATTTTAATTTACAAAAATTTTATACCTTTTTAAACTTTTTATTTTTTATTTATTTAATAAGGATAAATATTTTTAAGTTATTTAAATTATTGAGACTTTTTTATAATCTTTTTGAAATTTTAATTTATATTCTACATTAAACATTTTTTGTTTTTTAAATAGATTTTATTGTAAAAAAATAACATTTTTATTTATATACTTTTATTAATGAGGTTAAACAAAGAGAAAAAATTTAAATGAGATAAAATGTGAATTTTTAATGAAATTAGTTAACGAGGTTAAACCCCTTCTCCTCAAAAAACGGATTCCTAGTTTAAAACCCTAGTTCTTAATTCAAAGTTTAATAAAAGCGTCCAGGATTACAAAAGACCCCCTAACCCACCCTCGATTTTATTTAAATAAAATCTACACCAGTCTTATATTTACAATTTTTAATTAATCTATATTTTAAATTTTGAATTTATATTTTATATTTTATATTTTATATTTTATATTATATTTATTTTGAAATTATTTTATATCTTTTAAAGTATGATTATAAATTTAAATATAAAAATTATTTTAATTTAAATTCCTTAATTCTCAATAATAATTTTAAATCATGTAGAGTGATTTTTTGGGTTCGCATATACTACATTTTCCTCGACCACACAATAATAGATAACCCTACATTCTTTAAAATTTGTAAAAATTCAACTATTATTGTGAATAAAGGAATATTAAAAAAATGTAGGGATGTAGGATAAAATCAAAAAAACTTTTTTTATTTTTTTTTAAAAGTAGTAAAAAAAAAAAATATTTTTTAGAGTTATTATTGAATAATAATAATAATTTTTTAAAATTAAGAGCTGTTTAATTTATAATTCCATTTGCCCGCCGTTTTAGCTGCTTAGCTCCAAACCCTCGCAAGCGAGCAAATACTATTAATTTATTTTTAACTTAAAAATATTTTCGAGCGACTTTAAAATTGTAGTTTTTTTACTATTCAAGCTAATGCCCGCAAAGTATTAATAAATTTAAAATAAAATTTTAATAAATTTAGTGCTCTTAGGGTTTTTATTTGAGTTCGATTCTCAAAAGAGCCAACTAAAATAATAATTTTAATAATTTAAGTTATTAAAATTATTATTTTTAAAACCTACACATGCGCATGTGCAAAAATTTTTAAATTAAATTGAATTTTAATATTTTAAATATTTATTGTTTTTGAATAAGCTTTTAAACCCTATTAAAAATTATTTGTTGTGTTTTTTGGTTTGATTTATTCTTAATTAGGAATAATAGATGAGTTTTAATTATTATATTAAAGAAAATAAAACTATTATTGTTAAATAAGGATTTTTTATCTTTTTAATTACACTTATTGTACAGCTCTTTTATACAATAAAGAATAATAATTATTCTCTATTTTATAATATGATTTAATGATTAATCAATGAGCGTGTTTTTATCTTCCTTTATTTTTAAATTAAAAGAAGTAAAATTTTTAATATTTTAATTTTTTTTTTTTTCATGGATTTTAAAATTATATATTATTAAATTATTAAATTATTATTTAGTTTTATTTTGACCCATAAAAATTGGAAGATAAAATGGAAGAGGAAAAGAGAAGCACAAAAATGTATATTAAATATAATAATTTTTTTTTAATTAATTATTTTATAATTATTTGTTTTATTAATAATAATATTTTTATTTTAAAGTTTAAAAGTATAAAACTAGTTTAAAAGTATAAAACTAGTTTATTAATTAGAAGTATAAAATGTTTACCCCTTTTTTTTAAGTATAATAAGTATGCTTAGTACAAAATTTTAATTTTTTATAAAAAAAATTAATACTAATTATACAATAATAATAAAACAATTATTATTTAATAAAAACAAATTGGTAATTAATATTATAATAATTAATAAATAATAAAGCAATTTTAATTTAAAAATAAATAATTATTTTTTAACCAACATTAATAACGTGTTTAAAAAATAAAGATGGTCAATAAGTATGAGTTAATTAATAATAAAACAATTAAAAATAAAATTATAAAATTGTATTACTACGCATTTTTTGTTTGAAATAATAATAAAGGCTACAAAAAGCAAATTATTAAGAACAGATTAAAAAAATAATCATCAGCACTTTATACAACCAATAAGGAACATGTGGTAGAGTCTGGTTTATTACAGTCGTTTTGAAAGCGACCACTTTATTAAAGTCAGAGGTTCGAATCCTCTCATGTTCGTTTTTTTTTAATTAATTATTTTGTAGCTACCTTCGGAAGCAAGCCATTGGGTTTTTATATGTTTTGCATGCTTTTTTGCTTTGTTGCTTTGCTGCTGATTTTTTTATTATATTATTTTTTAATTGGTTTATTTTTGTGCTACTTGGTTAGTAATTAAAACTAAGCTTTTAAAATTATTTTACTTTCATTAATTAAATAAATAAATATAATAAATAAGTTTACAGCCTTATAATCAAATAATTTTTTTTTTATATTTTTATTTTCATTTTTCAAGTTATGCTTCTTTTTGTAATCAAGCTAATAATTTAATGGTTAAAATATTCTCTTGATAAGGGAGTAATAGAAGTTCGATTCTTCTTTAGCTTAATTAATTTTTTTTTAATAAACCATGCTTTATTTTTATTTTTTTTGATCTTATTTTTTTTTTCAAGGCTTAATTGTTTCGATTATATTTTTAATGCTACATTATTCTTTTTATTTTGCTAGTTTGCTAGCTTCTTGCGAAACCAAGCTACTTTACTACTAATTAATTTTAATTATAAAATTAAAAAATACAAAATTCTAATTTTATCAAAAGTATTTAAACTAAGCAACTCCTTTTAAAATCAAATTTTTTGTTCTCTCTTTTAAAATAAGCTTTGCAAGGCATAGTTTATATTTTAATGTGTAGTTTATATTTTAATGTGTAGTTTATATTGTATTATAATAGCATTAGTTTTGTTTTTAAAAACTATAAAATAAGCACAAAATTTTGATTGTTCTTAATAATTAGGAGTAATGATTTTTTAATTAATTATTTATTTATTTATTTTTTTTTAATAATTTAAAACTTAAATTTATAGGCTTTATGTTTACAAAGGTGAGTTTAAAAATAAATTAATTTTAATTAAAATCAAAAATTTTTCTATTAAAATGCCACAATTATTGCCATACTTTTTTGTTAATCAAATGTCATTTACATTGGTGATCTTATTATCACTAATTTTCGTACTTTCTAAATATATCTTGCCTAATTTTGTATTTTTATTCCTTACTAGATTTTATATTACAAGTCTTTAATCAAATAAAATATTTTAAGTTTTCTTATAGTAATAAGTTTTTCTTATAATAATAAATTAGGTTTAAATAACATTTTAAATCACTGGTAAAAAACAAAATTTAATTTGTTAAAATAACCCTTGTAGATTGAATATTTTTATAATAAAATTAACACTACTTTTTAAATTCTAATTATAATTTTTTGCTTGAGCCTTCTTACTAGCTAGAAGCTTTTAATTAGAGTTTAAATTTAATTTTAATTTAAATTTAAAAAAAGAACTATTCTTTTTATTTCCTTAATTCCAACCAGTTAAATTGATTTTTAATATAAAATTAAAAATACAAAATAAAATAATTAATTTGGCTAGCTTCGCAACACAATGATAAATATCATTGAGCTTTCAGTAGCTAAAATATAATCTTAATACAATGGATAACAATAATTTAAATAATAATAACAATAATAATAATAATAACAATAATAATAATAATAATAAAAGTATTGTAGTTTTGGGGAGTAATATATCCAAAAATGATGTTGTTGTTACTACTTCTAATAACGAATCCAAAACTTTAAGACCTTCATATATAATGGGTTTTGCGGATTCTTCAAACACAAAAAGTATCGTAGTTTGAGGTTCAAATTTATGTTCAAATGTTGGTTATCCAAGATTTATTAAAATTGTTTCTGCTATAGTCGAATTACCACATCAAGCTTTAAGTTTAATTACAGGTCTTTTACTTTCAGATGCTTGATTAACTTTTGGTTCTAAAACACATAAAAACGCAAGAATAGGATTTGGTCAATCTTTAGCTCATTTTGAATATTGTTAACATGTTTTTAGCCTTTTAGCTCATTATTGCTCAAGTTATCCTTCTTTAAGAATTAGAATGCGATTAAATACTTTAACTTTTGCTTTAGAGTTTTTTACTAGATCCTTACCTTGTTTTACAAATCTTTATAATTTATGGTATCCTAATGGTAAAAAAATTGTACCTGCAGATATTTATCATGATTTAACACCCTTAGCTTTAGCACATTGAATAATGGGGGACGGTTCTGTAAATCCAAGTGGGTTAGTAATATGCACTGATTCTTTTTCTATTCAAGAGACAGTAAAATTAATGAATGTTTTAATAATTAAATACGAATTAGTTTGTACATTAAGAATGCATAGAGATGATCAATATAGAATTTATATTAGGGCACAATCAATGGATAAATTAAGAGCCTTAGTAAAACCTTATATGGTTAATAGTATGTTATATAAAATAAAAATTTAATTTTAGTAGGAGGGCTCATTTGTTTTTTCAATAAGTAGAAACAAAAAAGGTTGATCAGTTCAATTAATTTTTAATTTAGTTGCAACTAAGAATCCAGCAAATAAAAAACAATTTCAATTTATCAAAGATTTTTTTAGTGTTGGTAAAATCATTGAACGAAAACCGCAAACAGCAAATAGTAATACTTCAATTTATTATGTAGTTAGGTCTTTTAAAGAATGCTTTGTAATTAGAAAGCATTTTGAAAATTATCCCTTACTAACCACTAAATTAATTCATTTTA